TTTCATTTGTAGCAAGGACTTGATCATTAATTAGTGTCTACATTTCCATTGAATGTTCACCTCACTATCACAACAAAGTAAGTTGATAAATTTGACCCTGGAAGGAAAGGATCAAGACAAAATCAACTCGGCATCTTTCATTTAAGACTCAAACCAAATATTTACTTGCATTTCATGGTAATGCGAATATAAACCACATGTTAGAAAATAAATTAAATCATTTTTGTTCGAATTACTTTTGACTTTGACAGCTAAACATTTACATTTTTCCATATTTTCCACAGAGAACGTATTAATATACTAACAGAAATAACGTGATTCCCATTTCAAAAGGTACTAACAATTTTTACCCAATCGATTTTGAATGCAATAATTTTCATAATAATACTTTTAAATAACCGACTGAGTCTAAAAACAAAATAGTAATAATATTAATATTACTCCTTTTCAAAAAAATCTACATTTTCAAGAGTATTGTACTTTAAAAGTAACTTACAGGTGAATTATATATTATGCATACTTTAACATTGCATCAAACTTATAATTAGTACATGGTTCACATTGTGAAATCTTAAATGTTCTTCATGTGACATGACCTATAAAAAACCTAATTGCTTAGTATTACCCTATTTACTATGCAAGTAAATAATTATAAAAATCATATTGAACATGTTACATTGGTTATTTAAATTTCCATATACTAAATAATCTCTTTAAAATAATATTCGAATGACTAATGATTCATGGGAATTATTTTAGATAAATTCAGTTCATACTTTTCAATTGACTGTTTTATTTTCTTGAATACTCTGCCATTCTATGAAAATACAACTGAGAACTATGGAATGAACGAATATATGTTTCAAATGCATGAATGTATGATGTAACAAACAACAACTCAGTACAGGGTATTAAACTAAATACTTCACAAGAAGATTAAGAAATTTGTACAAATAAAATAGAATTAACATATTTTAATCTTATGAAAGTACTCAGAATTTTGTGAGTTTTAAGAATTATAATTAACAATATATAATCTAAGATATATACTTTAATTCAAACCATATTTTAAAGTCAATGTATTTGAAAAGTATATAATGCAAAGTGTAACATAAGCTTGTATAACTTTTCGTGTTTCTTTTGAATATTTATAGAGTAACATGATTCCTCTTCGAGTTTCAAATGATTTTCTAAGAACATAATTTCACCTAATCACTTTGGATTATAACTTTCATTTCTAACTGTAATATTTTCAGACAAACGTGTGTCATACAAATGAGCTATCCTTGACCATCGATACTCATCTTCACCATTAAACAAGCTCTACGAGTTTCTACCAAACAAGCTGCACATTACTACAATTACGAAAAGGAAAAGTAAATCGACAAAATGTACCACAACAGAAAAATGAATGTGATAATTGCGTTCGACGCTAGGCATTGTCCTTACCAAGTTTCCAAGGATTGGCAGGCTCCAGACATCCCGTAACCAAAAGATTGTCATTTGCAGGAAAACTCACTCGTCGCAGAGGTCGTTTTTTGGAGAAAGCCAAGGAACTCCGTAATTTTTTTCCATCGATTAATATATAGGGCGAGAGGGGAGCATTGCTTATGCCGAACCGTGGCCTCCTAGTGTTGTACGATATTATTCTCGGAGGAAGTTTCTCAGGATCAACTTCCTCAGGATCAACATTCAAGGTCGTAAGCGAATTCTCGCAGATCGATGGTACTGAATCCGCTCCTTCGCTCATATTAACTGGATTTCTAACACATTTTGTCAGCCAAAATTTACACCGTACTATGCACAACACGCACACGCACACATATATAGAGCACGACAATATGTCAATTGCACTGTTCGGAGGAATCGTTAACACGCGTATCGAAGCAAACGTCAGCTACCCGTGCATTATATCCGCCATCTTTATTACTCTGTAACAAGTTGACAATTACTAAATGGAAACGTAACTAGGGAACGCAAAGCTCAATTCACGGGATTACGAGTCTAACCGTGCCCTTCTAGCAACATTGAATCTACTTACTTGTATCGTTGATTCATTCAAACATATTTCCACGTGGAAATGTATAATATTTGATTTTACGAAATTCTCATCATCTAAAATCTTTCGATTGAAAACCATATCACCAGATCACATTTCTCTTTATGCTTTCTTTAGAATCATGTAATATGTATGTGTATATATGTTTTGTTAAATCAACAATGTGTCGATTAAAAGATCACTGTTATCGAAATGATTTTTCATTTTTAATTACCTGAGAACAACGCTGGAATTGTAATTATTTCTTCTTGATTTTCATCTTGTATTGTCACAATCGCCCACCTGTTATGGAACACTTTTGTACAAGTACATTAGATCTAGTTTCTTTTTTTGTTACTGCACATTAATAAAATCGTTAATTTTTTTAAATGTTCGATATATCGAATAATATTTGAAGATCGAAATCAAATTGTTGCTATGTTAATTGTTTAATTGATGTAGGTATTGTACGTAAGTATGTTATTTTCTTTCATCTTGTTGCATCATAGAAATAATTTTTTTGGTGAACTTACCTTTATATCGTTAAGCTTATTCATAACAATTATATTTTAGTAAAGCTCACGCTTTACTTTTCTTTTTTAAAAATTCTTATTTTTACGAGATACCTGAAATACTCGGAAAATTTGAAAATCGAATGATTCTGAAATAATTTTTTTTTAGCTCGTTGATTGGAATTAAAGGCTATCCCTACGAGAAAAACATTTGCATAAATGACGGAGATATATTTTTCTCTGTCTGACAAGTCCCAAATTTGACGGAGCCGAACATTTCCTTATATTGCCAAAGAAAGAAAGAATCAGTAAGATATGTTTTTTTCGCCAAATAATTAACAGAGAAAAATGACTTGCGACGCTAAACGTAAGAAAATAATTTTATTTTATCCTAATAAGAGTTATTTCATTTTTAGAGATGGAAACTGTGTTACAACAAAAGGTAATAGAAGCGACACAGTGTGTTGAGAAACAATTAGACGCTGAAATAGAGAAGTTGGATAATTTAGATATTAACGACTTTGAAAAATTGCGTGAGGAGCGATTGAAAAAATTAAAACTACTCCAGCAGCAAAAACAAAATTGGTTGTTAGCGGTAATACATATATTGTTAAACTCCTTGTGGTGTTACAATATTGTTAAGCATAGATATACAGTAGATAATAATTGTATGTTTTGTACGTTACTTCAGGGTCATGGAGAATATTCTGAGATATACGATGAGAAAGAATTTTTTGATGTATCAAAGAAATCTGAGAACATTGTCTGTTTATTTTATAAAGATGACTCGCCAAGAAGCAAAATAGTGGATCACCATTTCAAAATTCTTGCAAAGAAACACATGGAAGCAAAATTTTGTAAGCTAAATGTAAAGAGGTGTCCATTTTTAACTGGTAATTCCCTAAATCATTTATAAACCACGAATGATTATTTTATTCGAATGAACACCAATTACAAAATATTTTAATGTAAAATTAATTCCTTCGCTTTCAGAACGTTTAAGAATCAAAATCATTCCTACAATTGCCCTCATTGTAAATAGCAAAACTAAAGATTATATTGTGGGATTCACAGAGTTAGGAAATTGTGATGATTTTTCAACAGAAACATTGGAGTATAGAATTTCACTTTCTGGTGTAATAAAGTACGACGATACATACCCTTCAGAGAACAACAAAAAGGCAACATTGTTGCAAATTGTTAAGTCCAAAACAATTAAGGATTCCGATCCTGCAAATTCAGATGATTCTGACATCGAGTAGAGATACTTTTAATGATTGAAAAGCGTTCTTATTAATACACATTGTCTACTTTTATTTTGGATTATAAATTTATTTATATTACAGATTTCTACTTAAGTAACAATATTGATTAATAAAAAATTGCAATAATTTGATGAAGCAAAATGAGTTACATGGTTTTCATAAATGTACTAAATGTGTATTTCTTTTTTCTGTACTTTATTTTATAAATATCACATGGAAAATGAAATTTTGCAAAGTAAATTGTGAATAATTACGCTAGAAGTAGAAAAAAAGTTATAAAAAATATATCATTGATTTAAGGATCAATCAAGTGCAATTACTCTTTCTTAAATTGTAATGAGATTATTTTAAGAATCTAAAAATATGTCATTTATAAAACAGTAAGTAATTCTTTAAATTATTTTATTTTACAGTAGTTCTTTTTATGTATGACACATGTATTTCACATTAATATTATCCTCGTCATTTCAAATGTACTCTTAAGAGAAATATAATTGAGAATGTATTCTAATGGAATTACTCTAACAACGATATTCTGTGTACATGCATAATTCCTTGCAGATACATACAACTCTTTTCAGCATGGTTAAAGATAATTTGAATTTAGTGGGAAAATATTCTGTTTCTTATATTTATATTATATTTAATAACTAATTTTTAATACTATAATTATGCAATGTATCACAGTGATAATTTTGCATACATTAACAGTTGTTATATATATATACACAATGAAATAAGAACTGCATTTATACTAACGCACCTTAGTACATATGCACGTACCATTCAAAATAAGAGAATAAGTGAAGATAAAAAGAATATAATACCATACACATATAAAATGTTGTATAAATCATATAATAATAATGCCCCCGCCTATAAAACATACTTCACTTTCAAAGAAGCTCTTAATGGAATACTAATACTGAACTACTAATGAGTATAATTCTATAATATTTAGAATGCTTTCTTTTTACAAGAGAGTAATATAGTAATATAAAAAATATAGACACTTATGCCTGTAAAGTATGACAGTGCACGTTCTAAATACAATTATTATTAGGAATGCAACATCACAAAAATATGACACACTGATTCGATTTTATTTAAATTACATGCTTAAAATCAGACTTAATGATGAAATTGTTTTATCATATATTTATCATCCACTGAAACGTACGAAAAAAGAAGGAAATAATATTACTTAATTCGTGTTAACATAAACGATAATTTTAATTAAT